AACCTGCTGCGCCCTCTCTTCTCCCCTCCACCAAGCCCCGTCATACCAGAGGAGGTATTTCCGAGTCAGCTCCTGCCAGCAGGCACTGCAGCTTGGCACGGGGTTCAGCGTTACCGCTTAAAGACAAGCGGTGACGTTCGCAGCAGTGACAGCTACTCTGACATCTGAGCATTCAAAGCAGGAGCAACGGATTTCCCTTCAGCATCTGTTTGGCCCTTTGTCAGCATTTTCAGTGCATTTGCAAAGCCAATTTGGTCTCTGCAAAAATTTAGTTAGAGGGCCACACTGCAGGATGCCAATACTTGTGTCAGGGAAAGGGACAATTTGATTGTGGGAAAGGATTCAGCCCAGGCACGCTCCGAACCGTGCCCGAGAGGCACTTGCAAAGAGGCAGAAGCAAACCAAAACCTGCCAAGCACATCGCCCGTTTTGGCTCAGTAACCTCGCCGAGCCCTTTCGCTCACACATGGTCACACCAGATTGAGGGGAAATCAGCCGAACGCCACGTCCCCACTGCCTGGCCGCTCCCGGCAGCAGCATAAAGGCCTGGGGAGATTTGCTTTTGCTGCCCACGGACACAGGGAATTTCCTAAGAAACAGGAATTTCAGGGGGAATTCAGTAGGAGTTTAGGGATTTGCTGCAAGGCTGTAGCACCAGCTGTTTGCCTGTGAAATCCGACCGGACGACACGCAAAGCACATCTCTGCCACTACTGCAAAGAGCACAAAACGCACGCAAACACTGCCTCTGCGCAACGGGCGCGGGCAACAGCTCACCCGGCACCCACGGCTGGGGGAAAGCGCTCCCCCAACCCCCCAACAGCTCACTGGCCGTTGGGAGGAGAGAAGGTACAAGGGAGAGGGTCCCACAGGAACTGGCAGGGGGGATGCTGAACGCTGCACAGCCCAAGACGACCTGCGAGCAGCGAAGGGTGTTATCCAGTTCTCAATTCACCCCTGAGGCTCTCAGTTCTGGGGGAGATTGTCCTCTCAGCTCTGGGGGAGACTGGTGGGAGACCACCCAGCGCCTCAGAAAAGCGGGCCAAAGCTTTCCCAAAACGCAAAGCCCCACCCCTTTCTGTGCAGCGCAGCACCACACACTGCTCTCTTTTTAATACGCTTTGAGATGGCACAGAACTGTGTAGCCCCACTGTTCTTTTTTAAATACCCTGCCAACAAGAAACGGGATAGCTAGAAGACGGAAGCTGCTTGCCTCTGGGTTGAGGTGTGGGACTAATCCCAGCCAGCAGCCCCGGGAAAGCTCTGGGCCATCGGACAGGGCCGCTTCTCCGAGGGCAAAGCGCAGTCTTGGCTAACAGCCGGCCAGCGAAGCCAGACAGCGCTCCTCAACAGCAGTGACGTACGGCAGCGCAGCCACTTCTACAGCAAAGGGACTTCTTACCTGCGAGCTGAACTTTATCAGCACCATGTACTGGTTTGGAGTGGAATCTCGGATGATTTTCATGTGCTCGATGACTTCGTAGAAGGAGGCGACAAACTTCATCAGGTCGTGGCTGGTCATGGTGGCAGGGACGGTGAGGATACAGAGCATGGCGCTGCGCCTGACGTCCTCCTTCAGAGAGGTCATCTTGCTGACAAGGCAACAGGGACACAGCGGCATGGCGTTTCAGGGAGCGCTGAGGCAGCGGCAGGTGCGTCACGCCGCGGCCACTAGAACAGCTTTGTGGTCAGTCTTAACCCTCTTTCGCACACTTGTAAATATTAAGAGAAGCACGGGGTTGCGGTAAGCATCCAGCGCACCCAACGTGAAACGATTCCTCTTTGGCAACTGGGCAGCTCCACCAAACAATGCTGCTCTCAGGAATAATTTGACATCTGTTTTTCTATAAAAACAGTCGAAGCTGGTGAGCCACAGATGCTCGGAACTATTCCCAGCACAAGCCAGCAGTGTTTGTCACCGTGTCGGATTCCCGTTTTGTGTCTCCTGACAGCTTTCAGCAAGACCCGACGCGGACGGTCTCACGCAGTTATAGGGGAATGGCGTGGAACTGTCACCCCCGGTGCGCTTCAGACAGCTCCTGGGGCCCCCCCCCAGGACC